AACACCTGGGGAACTGCTGGATTTCTTTTTCGAAGTCAATGCTTTGCTTCAATTTATGGAAGGCTACCGAAGGGCAGGAAGCAAAATTAGACCTGCAGATATTTTTGTTAACTACAAAAGTTGTTGAGATTATCTGTAAATTAATGCTATTTAGCTGCTATTTCTAAACAGAGACATTAGCATTTTATTTATGCTGTGTGAAAAGCATTTTTCATCCTCTTTATATTCCTTTATGATTCCTTTATTTTGTAAAATATCTACAGACCTTCCCTTTTTCTACCGAGGCACAGGTAGGAGTTCAACTTCATTTCTAAAGCAAGAGCTGTGCACATCTGAAGTTAGAGCTGCTAAACGTCTGTCCACCTTCATATCAGGACAAACCATTTGCTAAGCTGTCAGAGTGCTTTATATAGCCGCAGATTTACTGTTAAAAGCAATGATTACCTTGTCCTTTGATATGTATTTTTCCTTTTGAAAAGGAAAAATATCTTCTGTATGAAAGTATTTTAATTTTTCATTTTCAGATAGCATATTCTCCTTCACATGACCTAGATATTACTGTTCAATGTTTTTTACAGGTGGACCCCAAACAATTTTATTACTAGGGCTCTTTAGTTTTATTCTTCCTTTCTTGTCAAAATAGTGGAGTGAGTCTGGGGAGGAAGCAAATGTAGAATGAGATATATGTGCCTTAAATAAAACACACAATTAAGAGAGTATTTTTGTTCCTTGAAGTACTTCAAATTTGTGTGGATTTGTCAAAAGTGGTGTATAAATCAACTGTAGCTCGTTCACCCTAAAGTTTGCTACATACTAATTTTAAACATTTTCAAATTTAAGAGCAGAAATTATTCTGGTCAATGTAGTTTTTAATATGTAAAAATGCAAGATAAGGAAATTTTAATTCTGTTTGCAACTATGAAGATATGACCCCCTTTATGTTGTAGGATGACACTGCTCAAAATAAAGATTCTGCCAACATTTGTTTGAAAAAAATTGATGGAGTATTTTTCAAATATATTTGTAGCCTCTGAGGTGCTCCTCCTGAAAATCTCGGTTTTGATAGGAAGCATTTAGAAAGACTGACATTCTTGGACCAGAAATTTTCATGTTTGCATTTCAAAACAGTCTTACAAATAACAATTGTTATGTAAGTAATGTCCACCCCGTATAAAATTGTGTATTACTCTACTTACCACGAGGGTTATTGGACAAGAATATTTGTCTGACTCAGTGAACTGGAATACCCATCCAGCAGATATGAGTCAGCATACAAATAATAACTGAAATTGTATCAGTTAGCCAGTTATCATTTTATAATTGTTTTTCAGTCATTAAAATAAAAATAATTCTAATTAATTGAAAAGCTTAATTCTCCAGTCCAGCAGTTGAAATTGTAGTCACAGGCCAACCAGGAAATGTTTACAATCTACAGACCAAGGCTCAGACATAATGAACGTGTAGATAATTATTTGAAACAACAGATATATTAAAATTAAAAAAAATTATAAGTAGCTAATGAACAAAAAAAAAAAAGCCCTGAAGACTGAAAAAGGTGAGCTGACTTCTACAGGTGATGATACAGAAAATGTCTGAAGAGCCTTCCTGTTTGGGACAGGTAGTCTGTCACTAATTCAGGGTCTGGAAGAACCAAGCGCTGGTGTGAAATGACTGGCTTGGACCACAGCTGTGGTAGTGGAAAGGGGACAGAGTTTTTGAGCCATTTTTGTTTCAGCCTCTTTTCCAAGGGCCATGGGATGCAGCATTTGCTGGCAAAGGCTGTCTCTCAGTCGTGGATCAGCTGAGAGTCAGGACCGTACAGCCATCGGACACATGTTGAGTGTCAAGCAGCAAGGACGGGAGATGAATTGCTAAGCTTTCATTTGAGGCTACCCATCTCAGCTCTAACTGACGCGAGTCTCAAGCAGGTACGTCAGCTTGTAGTAAGAAACCAGCCACTGTGTTTTTTTCAGCATTATTAAAGACCTGTCCAGTTATATGTCATCTGTCCTCTCGTGTCCATCCCGACTCCATCCCCTTGTCAAAGTCATCTCCATCCCATCCCCCTGGCCCCCTCACCTCATTACCATTTGCTCCACAAATTCCTTTTAGGAATTTTCTTGTGAAGTTACTCTATAAGCCAGTTTGACATTTCAGAACAGTGACCCTGCTTTTGAGACACCTTTTTGACTCTAAAAGTGCACATAAACATATTTGAAATTCAGGAACCTTAGCAGTGGAACCTGAGGGAGATATTGCTAATCCCTAAAAAGGCTGGCAATGGCACTTCTCCTTAACACGCTGAATTCAAAGCAACTTTTACCACTTTGGTCTCTGAGCTCAAGTGTATTTGAATGCTTTCTTATGACCATACAGATTAGAATTCCTCTCACAGCTGTTTTCATGTTAATATTTAAATTACTAGGGGAACAGACTGACCTCCCGTGCTACTCTATAACAGGACCGTACACTTAACAGTAGCATAATAGCTGTGTATGATATAAGTCTGGTTGTAACTGGAACAAAAATCCCCAGGGTATTCATATCCTGCTTCTGGGGAGCCTGCAAAAAGTGACCAGGAAGCAAAAGCCTTTGTAAGATTCAAATAGTTCTAAAGGGATTTATATCTTCATTGGGAAGGAAAAACAAACTGAAAACCATCGATTTAAGTTACTTCAAATGGTTGTTTTAGGACAAATCTGTTACAAGCATCCAGCAGTATTTCTGACAATCCAAATTGCATCCAGATAGTGCAATTCAATTAATGCCATCTTAAATGTTAATCAAAATGTGCTACCTGTGAACAGTAGAAGGAAAATTGGAGAGAAACATTTCAGATCTGACTTCAGAGCTCTTGCCTAGCTTAGTTGAGATTTCTGGGAAACAGTTTCTTGCGGCTCTATTTATAGCTGCAGCTTCAGCTGAGCTGCTTTTTATAAATGGGCTTGCTATCTCTTGGTGCTCGGACTAAACTACAAAAAAGCACTTGCACAGCAGCAAACGTGTCTCTGCGTAGGAAGTTGATGTAAGGCAGCTGTTGGATTTTCAGTTCCCTGCTCGCTTTCACTGCGCTAATTCGGCCCATGCTGCAGAAAGCAGAGGACCCTAATTGGTCGAGGGACGTTATTAGATAAAGCAGATGGGAATTGTCATGAACAATTTGAAAAAACACCCACCAAAGGCTGTAGAATATAAATATCTCCACACTGCACTTGCAAAGAAGCAAGAGGCTACATTTTTTGGTGTGTTAGTGATGGGAGAGCGGCAGCTATATAGTAGGGATGAGGCTTTTACACCTACTTTTGCAGTAGACCTGAATTACTGCATAGATCCATCATGCCCAAAAGAATTGGTTGCAAAAATCTCTGATACCCTGAATATTGGGTTTGTTCTTTGTTTTTTTTTAATAAATCTTGGATGTTCAGTAAAAATAAGATGCCTGGAAGAGAGCTGTTGTGAAAGAGCTTGCCAAAAGACACTAGTAGCAATAATAATAATAGCAATGCTATACTTGTGACATGTTAGTTCTACAACTGTGGTTGCAGAAAAGAAAGGTAAAACAAACCAAGCTCATCACAGATCCCCAGGTGGCACGGTAAGCGTAGTTATATGCATGTATTGAAGCAGGATAACCGTGAGGTGAAAGCGAAACCAGGCACCAGGTGCTACCACAGTAGAGCAGTTTTAGTCAATCTGTTATTAGAGATTTGCACTGGGGAGATGGTCACTTCCAATGCCCCCAACAGAAGTGTTTGTGAGAGACTTCCAGCCATGTTGCCTGTATAGCTGAATCTCCTGGTAAAACTTGTGCCCAAGGAGATGTGGGCCAAAGATGCCCCACATTCCCCAAGAGTCGGGATCCTCACTCTGGTGGGACTCCATATTTTGGTGTGGTTTTATTCAACCTCTCAACTTAAAAGGGGATTTCTAGATTAGCGCAAACAGCCACAGGATGAAGTCACTCCCGTTCGGCCAGGCTTTGCCCTAACATTCTTCCCCAGCTTCCAAGGATCAGGGAGCTGGCCGTGAGGGCACTGGAGCCCTGGGCTGGGCAGCTGGTCAGGCTGCCCGCTGAGATGGCCCTGAGGCCGCTGTTCAAACCTGGGCCCAAGCCTTTATCATGTGTGTGTGTCTGCCACTCCACACTGATGGGTTTATAGGATCACAGAAATGTAGTGGTTAGAAGGGACCTCCAGAGATCATCTAGTCCACTCCCCCTGTCAAAATAGGTTCACTTAGAGCCGGTTGGACAGGCACACATCCAGGCAGGTTTTGAACATCTTCAGAGAAGAGACTCCACAGCCTCTCTGGGCAGCCTGTTCCAGTGCTCTGCCACCCTCAAAGTAAAGAAGTTTTTCCTCATGTTCAGATGGAATTTCCTGTGTTCTAGTTTGTGTCTGTTGCCCCTTATCATGTCACTAGGCACCACTGAAAAGAGTCTTGACACCTGCCCTTCAGATACTTATAAACATTGATGGGATCCCCTCTCAGCCTTCTCCAGGCTGAACAGACCCAGGTCTCTCAGCCTTTCCTCATAAGAGACATGCTCCAGTCCCTTGGTCATCTCTGTGACCTTCTGCCCCACTCTTTCCAGTAGTTCCTTGTCTTTCTTGGACTGGGGAGCCCAGAACTGGACACAGTGCTCCAGATGTGGCCTCAACAGGGCAGAGCAGAGGGGGGAAATGACCTCCCTCGACCTGCTGGCCACACTCTTTGATGTGCGCCGGGAGACCACTGGCCTTGGCCACAAGGGCGCATTTTTGGCTCATGGTCAACTTGTCCAATTGTTTAACTAACATCGCTCTGTGGAAACATCCACAGCTCCCGCGGCCCTCCCCCTGGGCCTCGACCACCAGGGCCCAGCGGCGCCGCGGGGCTCGGTTCCTGTCAGGCCGCCTCAGGCTCCGGGTGGTTGCCGGGGAGGGGCCCGGTGTGTGGGGCTGGCGGCGCGCACCGGCCCCGCCCTTCGCCGCCGGCCGAGCGTTGCCGGGTAACAGCGGCCGCCCGGCAGCATGGCCTCCTCCGACCCGCCGGCCGCCCCGGGCCTCCCGGGGCCTGGAGAGTCGGGAGCGGCAGAGGAGGCGCTCGGCGGCGCGGCGGGAATGAGGCGGCGGCCTCCCCTCTCCGCCGTCTCTGTCTTCGGCCACGTCCCCGCCAGACGGGATGGGCCTCCGGAGCTCAGCTATTTCTACCGGGTGGCCAAGGTGAGGGAAGGGAGCGAGCCGGGGAGAGGCGGGGGGACTGGCCGGGCCCGGCGGGGTTGGAGGGATGGAGACTTTCCCCTGGGTTTCTCAGCAGCGTAACTACATTGTGCTCGGTCCCTGTGCAAGGGCTCGGCCCTCGTCCTGAGGGACCTGGTCAGGTGAGTATCTTGAAAAATCCTGTTAGTATTTCAAAACCCAGTGGAAATGGCGCCTGTTTGCTGCTAGGGAGGCTGTCTAATGCCTAAATAGAAAGGTTTAACTTCAGAGGCCTTTGAGAAGTGTTAACAGGTGTTTGGTACTTGTGGATGGGAAAATGAAGATAATGTCTTTCGCTGGATGGCAAGAGAAGGCAGAGACATGGTTTGCCAAGAGTTTAAGACCAACCAGATACATGGTGTCACCAAAATGTTAGACGTCTTCAGGGGGAGCACTAGGAAAGGCACCGTCTGTCCTAGGGTTGGATGCGGCACCCGTGTTTTTTCTGGTAACAGATGCTCTCGGGGATCCTTTAATAAGAAACTGCTCCATTTTCAGTAGAGAGAAAAGGTTTTCAATGTGCATTGTGTAAACTTTCCATATGCTGACCTGTGAAGAAACCTATTCTGTTTCTCTCCCCTTCAGTCTCTGACATGCAGTTGGTTTTAGGTATTTCAGCAGCAAAATCAAGAGAGTTATTCAAAAGAGTAACGTCAATATGTGTCTTGGTAACTGAACGCTTCTGAAGGTGTTGCACCGACAAATAACAAGTAGTAACTCGAGTAGACTTAGCAGAGAGCCTCATGCTCTGCTGCGTTATATCACCCTTTTCCCTCATTTTCTCTGTTCTCATATTTAAAATCAAAAATTAAAACATCTTACACCTTCAGCCTCAGCTGGGCTACACATCCTGGGTAGCAAACTTTTCTCTCTCTCTCTCAAAAGTCATGTGAGACATTGAACTTTGGGGCTTCCCCCTGCAAAAAAACCCCAAAACAAAACAAACCCTGTGAATCCCTTCCCCACCCTAGTGACTGGCTGCTGAACTTGAAGCGCTGAGCTGGGACAACTGGCCACTTGTGAGAGTCTGTGGGGGTATTGGCAAGGTGCAAACCACACACAGTGCTGAGCATTAAAGGAGCAGCAAAACAGTATTTTACAGGGTATTTTACTATGAGGGTGGTGGAGCACTGGAACAGGTTGCCCAGGGAGGTGGTTGAGGCCCCTTCCCTGGAGATATTCAAGGTGAGGCTCAACGAGGCCCTGGGCAACCTGGTCTAGTTGGGGGTGTCCCTGCTGACTGTGGGGAGGCCAGACTAGAAGACCTTTGGAGGTCTTTTCCGGCCTGGACCATTCTAAGATTCTATGAAAACTAGATTTCCAGCATTGACTGGGTGGCCCTGCTAAGAGACAGGTAGATTTGTAATTTCAGGCTCTTTCATGTTCCCCCTTCCCTTGGGAAAGTGCTCTGAGCCAAAGGTGAATGGGCACAGATGGTACCATGCTTAACAAAACATGGTAGAGAGAGCACAACGAAAGTAAGGCTAGGGCAGGTCAGAGGGCTGGGGGGGTGCACTTGGGGCTGGTGGAGCTCACAGTCTATTCAGTCTGCATGGAATTATTAACCATATGGTAGAATTTTTGCTCTACAATATAAAGTCTGCTTTCACACTCCTGATGACCTGGTTTGTGGAAAATGCTGCTCCAGTGGCATGGAAACAAAAAGTGATAACAGCTGTTGAATAGGTTTCTTCACAGCACAGGGCTTAGCCACAGGGGAGGGAACAGTTTCAATTCATTCTTCTGCACAATTAAGGAATTAAATGATTTGAAATTTTTTATTTTTACAAGAAGGAGAATTTCATTCCTTTTTGTAGCTTAAATAACCTAAAACCAACTCCTTGTCAGAGACTGAAGGGGAGAGAAACAGGGGAAAAATGTGCTCAGCACATGGCCAGAAGCAAGAAATTCCTGCCTTTAATCCCTTGGTTTACAGTTGCTCCCTCAATTCCTCGATTGCTTTACATAAGTTACTGTAGCTGGTTTGTGTGGTGTTTCCTCTTCTGTGACATGGAGAAGGGTATTACCTATTTTATGTGTGTCTGGAATATTAGCAAGTGTTTTCAAAGTGCTTACCTTTAGTAGCAGAACATGGGGGGTACCCACCCTGCGTGCAAATGTATTGTCTGCTCTGCGTGATTCACTTGCTCTGATGGGTTTAAGAAACAGCTCCCTGCCACCACCACCTAGGCCAACTAAGTCATCGTTTAACAACAAAGAGGGACAGCAGCAAAAATTCATCAATATATTGAGCACAGAAGTGTTGCCTCTACACACCTGGCAGATCTTAAACGGATCATCTGGGACAGGGCTAATTTTTAACATAACAGGCTGGCTACCTATCTGTGAGTTCCAGAAAGAGTGAATTGTCTGCTCTGACACAGGCATCAAGTAATGGACAAATAATGCCACGTGAATAAAAACACAGGATCAAATAACATTCCTGGTGGTGAGCACAAATTAGATGCTTACTAAAATTCTGAATTAAACTAGTAGCATGGGGAGGAAAGGAGAAGCAAGGAAGCACAGAAATAATAATAACAACAACAATATTATTATGATTAAGGTGAAAAATCAGATGTGGGATGCTCTTGAATGTGCCTGAAATTCTGTGAGGCTTGATTGTTTCTGAGAAATGAAGGGATGGATAGGTTAAATACCGAACCACCTCTCCTCTTGGCAGAACCAAGTAATGGAGATACCCTTCCAAATGAAGCCTGTGATTACGGTTGTGCTCTCTAACTCGCTGGTGCTCTTACCTGTGGTTTACTTTTAATGGAACCATTATAGCCACCTTGACCTGCCCTGACTTCACTATTTTTGGAGGATAGCATTGTAAATTGTAAGAGTCTAAATACAAGCGTTTTTCAAAGGCTAGATTTGGCACACTGTAAAATTAGAGGTAAAAAAAAATCCCAACAAAATGCACAATTTTTCAAATTTGTAGTCAGCTGTGCACAAAACCAATGATTGATTGACATGTTTACCAGAATGTGGACCTTTTAATGAAGTTCATTAACAAGAGACAACATATTTCAACAAGAATTTTGCTTTTCTTTCCTTGAAAATGTATTTTTGGTTTTGAAATTCCTTTGATTCTACTGGTGAGGACTTCTTGATTGGATTTCTCACATGCATTTGTTAGCAGATCAGATCTTTAATGTTGCTTATTTGGATGCAACTATGTCAACAGATACCATAAATACAATAATATTCTGGCTTGAGTGTGCTGTATTTACATGCATGCATACTACTGGATCACAGGATTACCACTGTGGCGTGTTTCTTAACTCTTCTCAATTCTGCTTTAATCAGAAGTTAAGTGGTGATTCCGTTGCAGGATACCTTTGTCTTTTTAATTACAAATGCATTCTGAAACTGCCTGCTTTTCTTTTACATTACAGTGCCAGATAATCTGAAAAATTTATGACCTTAAGAGAATATAAAGTTCAGAAGAGTAAAACAAACAAATAACAAACAAAGCAGTTACATTTCCAAAAGTTACAGCACATCTTAGGGAAAAATTGAGGTAGATTGCCACGAAGGAAATTCCAGAGCTGAACAGACTTGAAAAAGATACCAGACGCCATTAGATGTTTTTATTGCAGACTATTCCAAAGGAGGGACCCAAACTTGCTAATGGCAGCTCAGTAATATTACATTGCCATTCATCTAATGCTATGTATGCACTCTTATTAATTATTAAGTTTTAAGTTATTAAGTATTGATTCAACTACATGTATTCTGTAACCTTTAAAGTTAAGCAATACTGCAAATTAGCCATTTTTTCCCTTTTCTCAAGACAGGAGATGTTTCCACTTACGATTCCATTTTTAATAGACCAGAGGGTTACAACAAAAAACTTCACCGATGTGACAGAGAACATGCAAAGGGTCGTGGTCTTCACATTAATGAGGAGGTAACCCTTTGATAATTTCATAATTATCTTTGTTAAAGGTCTTTTATACTTTTTGACATGGGTGGAGACTATAGGCATTGTTTTACCCTTTGTAATGCAGCCTATATGGTATCAAAGGAATCGGAAGGAGGACACCATTGTCCTCAGCCTGGAGGTTTAGGAAAAAGCATTAGCCATTGAAGACACCTGAGTTAGCTCCTGCTCTTTGGCATCCTGTAGATTTCCAGGTGACAAGCCACATGCAAGTTAAAGCATGGGGAATGAAATACAGGCAGCAAAGCATACCCTCTGTTACAGACCTTCAGGGTCACTGAGAGTGACTTCTGAACTGTCTGTGCCCCTCGAGAGTTGCCGTTCAGGTGGTCCTGCAGCTGTTTCTGTGATGCTTGAAAGCTCTTCTCCCTGAGAGGACTGGATTTAGGGGCGCCGACTCAACCCCTGTCCTCTGACATCCACCCTCCCCATGCCACCATTTGGTGAGAGAGCCCGGCTCTCTGAAGCTGTTGAGTTTGTTACGCAAACTTACACGAGATTGCCCTGCAGGAAGGAAATTATTGGGAGCTTGTGCAAAGGAGGGGTCAATTAGAAAAGCACAGCCATGCCTGGAAAAGGCTGGGCAAAGCATTGAAGGCCAGCAGAACGTGGGTTTGGTGTGCAGCCTGATAGCTAAGAAAGTACGAAGCTATGTTTTTAAACATCTGCCTTGAAAACAGAAATACTATTATATATACATATATAGAAATAAGTATTTTTCCATGCAGCATCTGAATAATACACATACATACACAAGTGTGTGTACATATATATATTTATATATCTACATATACACATAGGCTGAGGCTATCAAAAACCAAATGAAGTACAACTTCTGTGTGTTAATGGCCTTAAAACCCCAGTGGGTTCATGGCATGGAAAGAGATGGATAGGCTAGGAATGGCTGCCTGTATTGGTGATTATATATGACAGAGATAGAAGAAGGAAGAGGGGTACAAAAGTTAAAATTACTGTAATTGCTATGTAATAAAACTGCTGCTATTTTGTGACAAAGGCCACTGCTTGTGATTTGTCTCACTAGCAGCTATACGTGCCAGGCAGCTCAGTGCACAGCCGTGATGCCCTTCAGCCCTAACAGACAGGGCAGGGAGTATTATGTGCTCCCAAAGGCATCCCAGGAGCGCCCCTTACCATCACCTGCTCGTGCCTAGTAACTCAACTGCAAATCTGCAGGAGGCCAAAAGCCATGTAAATGACCACTCCAATTAAAAATGAGCCTTTTTATCTAAACAAAACACAGCCAACCCCCCTCCCCCAATAGCAAGCCTAACCTCCAGTTGGGAAATTTGTGTCAAAACAGTTTTATCAATGCAGAGTAAAGGTTTTTACTGAGCTCTTGTGTCTTTTCCATATCAACAAAACCCACTTTCCTATCAGTTTGCTTCCTAAAGCAAATGTGTATGGGCCAGAATTCATACCAGCTCTGCTGGGCAGTGCACGTAAGGGACTCTGCCTGAACAGGTGTTCCTTAATCCAGCTCTTTAATTAGCATGGAGGCACATCAGACCCACAGCTGTTGAAAGTTACAACATGATCCTCCTGCACATGACGACACCCAACACTGACCTTGCCCATCATTAAGTGCAAGTCCCATAGTCAGCTCCTGCTCTTTAATTGCCTCAGTGGCCCTTGCAGAACTTTATATGATAAAACATTAAAAAAAAAAAGGCCACAATCAACATCTCTCTAGTACAGCACTGAAAGGAGACAGGCTGAATCCCCCACAGTACTTCCTTGAAGTGGGAAAAACCCAAACCACTAGACATAAGCTCTTCACTTGCTGCAGAGAGGCTGGCTGCACCCAGGGAACGCAGGAGCAGAGTGTCAGATGCCCGGTTTAGCCGCACGCAGCACAGTGGCTGCAGCAGAGTGTTTGCACGAGGCTGCCATTGCTGATTTCAAGTGTTAACAGCGCTAGAATTACACGCTGGGAAGGCGTGGAGCGGGATGCCTCCCGGCCAACTGTTGGAAAAGGGGAAATCTGCGGAATGCCGAACCCGCACAGATGAAATGCCACTGTGCACAGTCAGCACCGTGCTACCAAGGATGCTGAAAACTGAATCTTATTTATTTAAAGGGAACACAAAATAATGGAATTACATACTGCTGCCTATCGTTAGCACTGTAAGCCCTGTATCACTAGCAAAGCCTTTCTTGGTGGTACAAAGATTGAGTCATTTATCTTTTTCAGCATTTATCCACAACTGGAGGGGGGAGGAAATGGTTTTATTTTTTGCCTGCTACTCTTCTTGGCTTGATTTTTGTTCCAGTGGGGTTAACACTTGATGTACTGAATAGCTTTTAATGGGGTGGAGCAGGGTAGGCAGGAAAGGTAGGGGGAGAGTTGGGAGATGAATGGTTGTTTTGGAATGGCCTTTTCTGTTGGGTTTATTTTTAGTTTGGCTTGGTTTTGGGTTTGGTTTGTCTTCTTTTTTTTTTTTAAAAAAAAAAAAGAGTTTACAGCCTCTTCCCAAGCATCTCAGATCTACTTCTTTCCATGAGTCTGGAAATGTCTCCCAGCTGCCTGCCCTCCTATGAGACCCCTCAGGGCGGTGCTCCCACCTGCATCTCTGCAGGAAAGGGCTCGTGTGCTTTATGGGTTCTATCAGAAGTGCTAACATGGCTCAGACTCGTGTCTGTTGTAGCAAATAAGTCATTGTTTTGCACCTGAACTGTGGTGTGGCATCCGTGTTTTGATTCTCCTTGTAGTTATTATAAGATTAGGGAAACGCATTGGTGACCGAGACATACTGTGTTGGCCAGTGTGTAAGCATACAGGCAGCCTGATAAATCAGAGACCTTTGACTAGGGAAAGAAACACAAACAAATCCTGCCTTTCCCTTCTGACTCCAGAGCTCCCCGCTGCTGTAGCACAGGAAGGAACTGCAGATTGCAAATAGTGATTGCACAGTCACGTAAAGCGCAGTTTACTAAGAACTAGCTTAAAGTAATCTTTTATTGGTCAGGTTATTTTTCACCAAGTCCACTTCCTATCATTGCAGAGCAGTTATTTCTGTGTTCTTACAGCTATAAGCATTTTTAGTAAAACCTTTTGTTGTGCAAAAATACAGTAGTAGGTGCTTTATGCTGTTCAGAGAAAGCTTCCATGGATTAGCGGTTGCTCAGGGTTTTTCTTCAGGCTTTGCTTTTTTTCATGCGGTGCTTTCACTGAATTGTGCAAGTAGGGTAGGTGTTCCTGTAACAGGGGGCACAAATTAAATCCCTCCTATTTTTCAAATGAATCATGCAAGCCAGTGCACAGGAAAAATAAGAATGAAAATGGAATCTGTGCCACTTTCCAGTAAAATGGCATTTATTTTTCCAGTAATTCCATGGTAATCGCCTGTGTGTGTGTGTGCGCATGCGTGTGTGTGTGTGTAAAAAATTACCAGTCCACGGTAGCTCATGGCACAGCTCTGTATCTTATCATCTTGTCATCTAGTCATACATTCACAGTTTATTAATATACATAAAAAACTAGGTCAGGGTTGGAACAGTAAGAGTGCAGATCACTGCTAAATAAATACACAGCCATATAGCAGATGCTGTACAGTTCTGTCTGTTTTTTTGCCCCTGGCCACAGCACATTTAGCAACAGATAACTGCCAAGTATTCACTCTCTGATTTTCTTATAAGGAGATTTTTATATTTTCACAGGAAATGGCAAGACCTGTTGCTGTTTTGTCATCTTCAGAGTATGGGAGACACATAAATAAGCCCGTAGAGCAGGTGATCAGAGAACATGCAAGAATTAATCTGCTGGAGGCAGAATTCTACAGGAAAAATGGCATCACCTGGTGATTGGAAGAACCTTCTCCAAGCCTGGATCCATGTTAAATCTCTTGTACATGTCATTGCCAGAAACATCTATGTGGAAAAAAATCCACCTCACATCAAAAAGCAATATGGTGGTTTTGCTTTTTCCTCTACGTTTTAGTTAATGAGAATGATTTGGATTAAAACTAGGATGAAATAGCAGCAACTTTTCCTCATGCTAATTCAAATGCATGTCTTCTCCTTACAGTCTCAAAAGTCTAATGAAAAGTAGCATCCACCATTCTGTGATTCTATGATTTTAGGCAGCAATACGGTGGAAGTGAGACCTGTTGGATCAACAGCTGTCTCTCTGCGATTTTAGGCAGTGCTTCTGCATAACTCTTTACCGACTTACATTTAAGCAAGCTGCTTCTCAAGGTTATCAGTAGTCACTGACTTCTTAGGTCGTACAGTGTTGCTACAGAATTGCCAGTTGTCATTTTACTTGCACAACAGCTGAAACAGGGATTCAACACAGATTTTCCAAAATGGGCGAGTAAAGAAATGAGCTGACTTAGAGAAGTGCTTAGCAGTTTTGGTAGACCTCAAGTGGAAGTCAAGTTAACAGGAACTTCAGAGTGTTCAGCATTTAAATAGACAAAATCTGGGCTTAACTGATTTCAGACATCAATTTTGCTGGCTTTTGCTATATGAATGCTGTCTGAGGGATTGATCCGTTCAAGAGTGTCACAAGAAAAATCATCTCTGGTTCTGTATACAATGCTGAAAAAAAGAAGAAAAAAGAAGAAAGAAGAAAAAAAGAAGAAAGAAAGAAGAAAAAAAAAGGTAATACTAGCAGAACAAGCACTAAATAGTGTGGTAGAGAGGATGGAAAAGCACAAGGATTTGAGCAGGAGTCACTTAAAAGGCATATTTAGAGTAAATGTCTAAACCTGCTCAACTGCTCAAACATTTAGTGCCTTGTATTCTCACTGAATCCAGTACTAAAGTTTTAAGGCAATTTCAGGAGAAGGAATATCTCCTACAGGATACACATCAGTTTGGTTCTTGAGAGCCATCCATCCTGCTGTTGTTTAAAGCTGAGGCATATTGTTCAGAAAGGGACAACAGCCAGACTGATCACAGCAGAACAAGGACTGTAACTCCTCAGCTTTGACTGACACTGGAGTTCTGTCAGGTGACTTACACAAAGGAAACCTGTGTCATTGGTGAACACAGTGAGTCTCCTAGTGAAAAATAATGAAAACAACTTCTTAATCGAAGGCATGAATAAATAGTAAATTAGCCAATCAACAGCACTTGTTTGGCATGATGCGAGAAGCAGAGCAGACAGAGCAGCCCAATCTGAGGGGCGTTTGTTACTTTCATATATTCATGACCTGCAAGTTCCTCTATATTCAGTGAGCTAGGGGCAGTAACTGCTACATTCCTTTTCAACAATAAATACTTTGTTAAAGAAATCCAGCAGCATTAAATGAAAGGAATCATAGTAAGAACAAAGTGAGAAGGAAATGTTTTCTAACAATACCAAGATGCCTTTTCAAAAATCAGTATCAAGTGTATAACCAGTGAAGAATGAGATGGAATATGGCCATATTGTAGACAGGTTATTTTTAGTTCAGGACAGTCAGTACAAATTACTTCTTTCAAGTAGTCTTACTATATTTACAAACCATCTGTGTTTAAAAAACTACGGGAAATCGAATCTGCTTGGGAACACCACCACCTTCTGGTCTGTGTGAGAAATAAGCATCACCAATTCTCTTCTATCTTGGAGAAAGGCATGAGTCATCGACACCAGGATCAGTTTCCCTCTCTCATTTCTTTGCTTGTTTCACCCCTTTCTCTTTTGAGTCCCTTCTCACCCCTCCTCACTTCTGAAGGCTTTTCACAGACTATTCCTCCTACTACTTGTTTCTTATTCAGTTCTGAGTGGTTGACTTCTCCTGTCAGTGCTCAGTTAGTGAGGATTTCTTCTGTATTAGGGAGGAGTTCCCTATGGATGTCCCTTCATCCATCTGTAAAGCAACATGTTGACTCAAGTTCAGGCATGCTTGTTCCTGCTGAAGTGATTACTGGTTCCATTTCTTAATTCTGGCAGAAAGGTGGAACTGATACTCCTGCATGAAAAAGCACTGTGCAGGTCATACTTCTGTGTCAGACCTTCAGAGTATAGTAAGTATTTAGGCCAGAAGAGCAGCCTGTGAACTGAAGGAACTCCAGAGTGCATACATGACCCCATTTAGTCAGTTTAGAGAAAACTGCCACCAAAGACAATAATACAAATAATACATATCCAGAATATCAGGTGGCCCCCAGAGAGACAGCTGTGTAAGTCCACTGCCCTGTGGCAGCTGTTCTTTTACAAAGAAAGGTGCATCTTTTTATTAAAAGCTCTCTAATTTTTTGTAAGGCATTGCTATTTAGTGAACAGCACTCTGCATCTCTTTGAGAAATAAGCAAATAGTGCTTGTGCAACTACTGCAAATTTTAGTTTTCTGGAACACTTGGGAAATCACACAAACAGCTATGAGTAAATTGCACAATTTCTTTTTATAATGTCAAGAAAAGCCCTGATTGCTAGGTAGCGTGGCACTTCTGTACATTTAGCACCAGCCAGTATCCTTGAATAGTCACATCTGTCCATTTGCAGTTGTGAGTTAGAACCAGTGAAAATACAAAGGAGATGCAGCATTGGCTGTCTGGCACTTACATCTGCTAACTTATAATAAATATTGACACAAAACTTATGAAAATATGTTGCTCTTTATTACTCTTTACATGTCAATTGTTCCAAATGTTGGAAGGTGTCACATTCAGAAGCTTAAATCATCTTAGGTGGAGTTATTTAGAAAACAGAATTGTTCTTATACACACAATATTTACACTTTATAGTACAGGAGGTCAACCAGTGATTTAGTATTATTCTCCAGTGTCAGTAGTCAAGTCAGTATGTATGAGGAAAGATTTTTTTGTGTAGATACTCTGCCATTTTTCTGCAATTTTGTAGACTCTCTATCTCAAAAAACGGAATCTGGAAACAAAACAACAATGATTGCTGGAAATGCCTTCTAATAAACAACTCTGTAAGACTGATGTTCATTAAGCAGATATAAAATTACACATCAAAGATTTCTCTTTTTTTAAAATTAAACATTTAATCCTAAGCATGTTATTGATCTGTAAATCACTTGAACAGAGATTATTGTAAACCAAAAAGTGATATCCATAACAGTTTAATTAAGTTAAATATAACTGACATAGGCTTATGTGAGAAGTGATTATAAATGGAAAAAAAATATCTCCAAAATGTCAAATTAACTGGTTTGGTCCAAAGTATTTTTAAAGATAAAAGTAACCCTATTAATTCAACATGCAAAATAAAGGATATATTCTGTTGTGAAAATATTATTTACAATACAAAGCAGTTCCTTTTTTTTTTAACTCCTCTTTTTAAACCCCAAATTCAGATCTTAGTATTAAATAATTAAATACTTAAAACGTATTAAATTAAAAATCCCAAGTCTACTGAACTGTTAGTCAAGATTTGAACCTTAATCACTGCAGAGAAGTACTCTTTCAAGCAGCCACTATTTGGCAGAAAACACTAACTGATCCAAGGAAGAAAATGGAATTTCTGTAACACCCTCAAAAAGGCAAAAGTGAGGCAGAGTGAACATAATGCAGAAAGGACAAGACCACATCTGCAATTGGGAAGTAATTGCAACTACAGTTTTAGGCATTATAAAATAATGATTTTTCCCTTGTTTTGTTAGCCAGACAGAGCAAAAGCAAACCACTGTCTTTGGACTTTACCTGCACAACTTCATAACCGAGTAATTGAAGATGTCTCTGTTTAATAGCTTCTTCTCCCAGCAGATTGTGGCTGTTAACGCAAAATCTATTTCGGCCATCCACACAGACAGCAATTCTGAAATCAAGCACAAGTACAGCATCAAAAAAACCCAAGTTATTTTAGTCACCACAACTACTGTGGTTCCTAAGAAGCATGAGACAATAACTCCCCTCTTACTTCCTAATACCTTCTAGAATTAGATGCTGTAGGGTGGGAGTTACCTACTTCACTCAATTTAAATCACTCAGCTTACAGGTGGGAGGGGGAAAGCCTGAAGCTTAGTGAAACTAAACCTGAAAAGCTTAGTTATATGCTCTGAACAAAAATTACCATACAAGTTAATAAGAGTTTGATATTTTTAATGCTACTGCGGGTAAGCTCTTTGAATTCTTCTAGAGGAAAAACATACAAAATACTTGTCTTGGTTTGAAAACATTTCAGCAGCTAAATTTATTCAACTTACTAGTGTTCCTGTTAAACCTGTTAAAGTTAACTTTAAGATAAATTTGTCTAAGTTAAACCCATATCTACGGTTGGCAGCTTCCGGATTGTATTTTTTCTACTTGGTGATAAATATCACATCACCTTAAAGAAAAATGTGTATATCCACTGTAGAAAAATGACTTAAATTTTCAGTATGTTAAGTATATTGTGACCTTATCTACACATGAAAGCTGTAATTTTTTAAAAAAATAATCAAAGCCTATTCTTAAATATTAAAGGATAGGATTTTTGCAAGAACCTATATTCTCTGTGAGTCTTGTGAAGGTTAAGCTGGAGCCAACATAACCTTTTCAAAGACTTTTACTTTATCCACAGAAGTGCAGTTGCAAATAGCACACAGGCAGGTTGCTTAACTTTGTATCCAAGGTTTCACAAAATAATCCTTGTTTAACATATTTCATAAACATCTATGCATTTTTCAATAAAAACAGCATCTGTAGCAAATACTCTCATTAGGATTCTTTACAGCAGTAAATTTGTGAACTCAGACTGGCTTAACTGTGTTAAAATCTATGTGGACAGACTCAATTAGAATTAATTTGGTTTTAATTTGAAAATTAATTACTAAAGATTAAAATACATTACTGTAAGCCAAATCAGGATCACTTTGATCCTGACTGCCACTGGGTGGAGAGACTAATTGTCTGACACTGTATAGTCAGGAGGCAAAACAATGAGGAAAAAGTACAGATCATTAATTTTGCCAACTTCATCCATTTGCCAGGGGTTTCAATGTGAAACCTTAGCTTTGTTGAGGTCAATGGCAAAACTCCAATTAGCTTAAATTTTGCCAGAGTTTCACCCTGGATGCTCTTTGTTGATGTTGACATTGTACCCGTGGTTACTTTTATTCTCTTACCGTCTGTGTACCTCTTCACATTGGGCAGCAGGCAATACAAAACCTTCTTCATCTAATTTAATCTCAATATCTAGAATAGATGGAAAGAGAAGTGACTTTAATATTCAGTCCATATAGCAAACTGTTTGCTGTAATTCTCATCTGCTTACAGTTCATTGTTTTATACAATAACTAAAATAGTATCGCAATACCTTTTTCTGAATCACAGAGGCCTGCAAAAGATATGCATAGGCTATTTAAGACAAATGAATGATAATTAGTAACACTTCAGCCTTTCATAATGCTAACAGCAAAATAGTATTCCAAGTCCACTAAAAACCGTATTGTAGTTAAATTGCACTTTGCTGGGCTGCGTAGGGCCTCTGGATTTATGAGGGTTTTGGGGAGACACTCTCTCTCTCTGGACCTAAACCCTGCCAAATTTAACCCCATGTGGAACCTGAAATGCGGAATAATTCTGGAATCATCCCTCTCTCTTCATTTTTGTTTTTTTTTTTTTTTTTGTTTTGTTTTTTTTTTATCCTTCCACAGGGTCCAAGAGATCCTTCCCTCAACATCTTTTTTATGACCCATCTCTCCTGGGCACACATTCCTGG